ATCCTCCTGCCTCAGCCTCCCGAGTAGCTGGGACTACAGGCATGCGCCGCCACGCCCGGCTAATTTTTTTTTTCTATGTATTTTTACTTGTCCAATTAATGTCTTTCTATTTTTAGTAGAGACGGGGTCTCGCTCTTGCTCAGGCTGGTCTCGAACTCCTGAGCTCAAATAATCCCCCCGTCAGGGCCTCCTGGCGGCCGGAAAATTCTAAGATTTTCTTAGAATCTTTACCTTTTTGAGACAAGCTTGTAAATTACAACATGCAACAGTATGTACCATAACACCCTGAAGTACACCCGTGAACCATTACATGCTTATGCATCGCATTTCTGCATCATTTTTCATGAAAACAAAGTAGTTAAGGAAGCTTAGACTGGGGGTGCCCGGAACTGCGGGTGAGTCCTGACCCAGACTTCCCAGCGTCGGCACCCGGACTAGCTGGGTCGCAGCCCCGCTGCGTCATCGCTCAGAGCCGGGCGCACAAGAAAACCTACACTTCCCGGCGATCTCTGCGCGGCGAGTCGAACGGCGGGGCGGGGCGAGGCGAGGAGCGCCTCTGTGAATTCCCTTCCCATTGGCGCGCAAGCCAAAGGGCCCTGTAAACTTGTGGGCGATTGGACGGATTGGTAGTGGCGCCGAGTCGCTACCTGATTTGACATTTGTTTTTCGGTTGGCTTCCCCGACGCTGAGTCTTGGAGTATTGTGAGTACAGAGTTTCGGGTTCAGGGTGCAGGGATTAGGGAAGAGGCCTTGGGGAGGAAATTTGGTGAGGGAGAAATAACTGCGGAAGCAATGCGGAAGAGTGGGACGTGAGCCTGGCATCTGGGGGTCCTCCCAGGGGCTGGGGACCGGAAGAAGAGAGTTAGACTCTGCAAAGGGAGAGCTCTCGGGGGTGCTGGGGGATTGGGGAACTACAGCAACGAAGGAGTCAAGAACGGGCTGAAGTGGAAACAGGAGCGCGGGATTTGGACGTCCCGGGGAAGGGTTCCGGAACACCCTCACCCCACTCTGGTCTGGGCCTCAATTTCCTCATTTGTACAGTAAAGGATAGTTAAAACTACTTAGCAGAGCTAAATAAAGTAATAAATGTCAAAGTGCTAAACAAGTGTTAATTGCAGTAGACAAGCTATAGAGAATATACCTAGGCGAGGATATCAGAGCTGGGTGGATAGAAGCGATCTGAAACCCATTAGTTTATACATGAACAAGGACGTTGTTGTTTTGGGAGATGCACTGGCGACGGAGAGATGGTTTCTGTCTGCAAGAAACACACACACCATCGTTGGAGAAGCGATAGCAGCAAAGAACTCTAACATGTTAACTGTCTTTTAGAGAATTACAAACGCAGTTTTATTGCAGTTAGGTCATTTTGGGTGGAGAGACCCAGGAAAGAGCGGAAGAAGGTCGTGGATGAGTTTTCGTGGACAGACTAGATTTCGTTAAGTGAAATTATGAGGATCGTGGAGGGAGCTATGTTCCAGTTGGAGGGGGGCACATGAACAAAGGCATGGAGCTAGAAAGTTATCATATCTGGAAACAGAGAGTGCATTTAGGGGAGTAGAGGGAAATAAGGCAGGAAAGATAGGTTTGGCCCCTATATAGAAAGCCATGAATTCTAGTTCTAGGCTAAGGAGTTTGGTTTAATGCTTTAGGCCATGAGGAGCCATTGATAAATTTTACAATTTTTAAGAAAACGGTCCAGGGAGAGAAGCAGTGAGCAGAACAATTAAACTGTTGTAGTAGTACAGGTAAGAAGGTATTGAGATTTGGGGGGGGGGGGCGTCTATTTTTCTTTTTAAAAATTTATTATTATTATCATATATATTTTTAGAGACAAGGTTCATTATGTTGCCCAGGCTGATCTCAAACTCCCAGCCTTCAGCAGTCTTCCTGCCTCAGCCTCCTGAATAGTTGGGATTGTAGGTGTGAGCAGTATTGAGATTCTGAATTAACGTCATTACAGTGATAAAATATACAAGATTTTCCTATGGTTGGATGGAAGGTTCAAAAGAAGGTATAATCAAATGATGAATTTAAATTGTCAAGTCCAGGTTACTTGGAAATGCTGAATTAGTAAATAAAATAGGAAAGTCAGAAAGTGCATGTTTGTCTGCAAAAAGATGTCATATTAGGTTTAGGAAGTGTTAGTTTCGAGGTGCTAAAAAAATATATATATAACTTGAGTGATTGTTTTGAGTTAGATATTGCAGCTCCAATGGGACATGAGGGTGAAAATGTCCAGAACATGACCGGGAATTCAAATCAGGAGGATGAAAGAGATATCATTTACTCATTCAACATGTAGCTGTTGGTTACTCTATGCTAAATAGTGTTTTAGGTAATAGAGATAATCATAAAAGCAGTAGGAATGGTGATGTTCCCAAAGAAGTGGACAGAGGAAGTTGTAAAGAGAGTTGAAGATAGAGCCTTTTGAACCAAGGATGTAAATTTTCAGTAATAATAATAGCCTGTGTTTATCGAGTGCTTATATATGTCAAACATTGTGCTCAGCCCTTTTATTCATCATTTCATTTAATCCTTGCGTCAGCCTATGACAGGTAAGTACCTTGGGTTTGGAAAGGATAACTTGCTTGAGGCACACAGCTAATAAGGGACAAAGCTTTGACTCAAATCCAAGTCTGTCTGGTTTCAGAGCCCACACTCTCAACTACAAAGCAATTTTTTTTTCCAGACAGGGTCTTACTCACTCACTTCAACCCAGGCTGAGGTGCAATGGCATGATCATAGCTCACTGCAGCCTCAAATTCCTGGGCTCAAGCGATCCTCCCACCTCGATTTCCCAGAGTGCTAGGATTGTAGGTGTGAGCCACTGCTCCTGGCCAAAGCAATATGTTTAAAAAGCTTGGTTGGCACTATCAAATTAAGCATACAAGTCAAGGAGTAAACTGTCAGATGACGGAAGATGGGAACAAAAAGAGCAATAGAATTTATTAATTTGTATGCCGCTGACCAAGGGGAGCAACTTCGATTCAGGTGTTATAGTAGAAGCCAGATTATTAGAGATCGTAAAGTTGAAAGAGAGGAGGGCAGACAACGTTTTGCAGATATGCCATAGTCATAGGGAGGAGAAGGAGTAAGGACAGTCACTGTGAGGGAGAAGAGAGGTTGCAAGTCATTAGAAGGCTTTTTTGAAGTTCCAAATTACTCTCAAATAGTTTTGGAACAGTGAAATTTAGCTTTAAGATGTCACCCATATCCATTCAATAGAATATTATTCAGCCATAAAAAGAAATGAAATAGCGACACCTGCTACGACGTAGGTGAACCTTGAAAACACCATGCTAAGTCAAAGAAGCCAGTCACAAAAGACCATATACTGGACGATTCCCTTTATATGAAAGCCCAGAACAGGGAAATCTACAGAGACACGAGGTAGATTAGTGGTTGCTTGGGGCGGGGGAGACGGGTGAGGAGTGGGACATGGATGAGAGCTAAAGGATGTGGGGTTTCTTCTTGAAATGGGGAAACTGTTCTGAAATGTACTGTGGTGATAGTTGCACAAAACTGTGCCTATGTTAAAAGTCATCGAATTGTGTGCTTCGAAGGAATGAATTTAATGGTATATATGAATTATATCTTCATTAAACTGTTTTTTAAGTGTTACCCATAACCAATCCAATTGCCATTTTTATTTTCTAGGTTATTTTGACAAGAGACAAATTGGCCCAATTTGCAGAAGTTTTGTGGAAGGAGGTGAGTTTGAAAAAGGAGAGTAATCATTTTAAAGGAGAGAATTAGGAGAAGAGAGGTGGCATATTTGAAGGGTTGGCTGTACAAGAAAGCAAATGGGATTAGGAAGCAGAAACAGATGTTTAGCTAGGTCGGACAGGTGACCAGTAGAAGAAAAGGGTGTTTAACAGTCTTTCAAATTCATATTGAGGATTTAAAATGTACATTTATTTTTTTCAGTAAATATTTATTGAGCACCTACTCTGAGCCAGGCACTGTTCTAGCTGTTTCAGTAACTAGGAATACAGCAGTGAACAGAACAGATAAAAATCCCTTCCCTCAGTGAGTCTGCACATTCCAGTGTGGAGAGACAGACAGTAAATAAATAAAATATTTCAATCTGCCCCTAAATCTAAGGAAAGGAAATTAAAAAAAAAAAAAGTCACATGGTGATCAGTGTTATGGAGAAAAGTACAGCAGAGAAGGTGGTCGAGGGTGCTCGAGTGATCGGGGGAGACTCCATCCAGAAAGGGACTGTTGAGCCCTGAAGGAGGAGGGCGAGCAAGCCCCAGAGGTCAGCGGGGAGAGAACATCACAGGCAGAGAGAACTGCAGGTGCAGTGGCTCTGAAGTGGACGTTTGCCTCGCGTGTTTGAAGAACAGCAAGGAGGCCAGCGTTTTTGGAGCGGTGAACAAAGGTCAGAATAGCAGGCGGGGTTACAGGGGTCATGGGGAGGCCAGACCATGGAGAGCCTGAGCATGCGCCGTGTTAAAGAGCTGGATTCTCTGAGTGAGGTGGAGAAGTCATTGGCGACTCTTGAGCAGAGGAGTTTTATGTTTTGCCATGTATTTCAAAGAATCACCGTAACCGCTGTGTTGAGGAGAGACTGCAAGGGCCGAGGTTGAGAGTGGAACGAGAGGCCAGCTGAGAGGTCTCTACCATGGTCATCCAGGCAAGAGAGAGCAGTGGGTTGGCCCAGGGCAGCATGCGCGAGTGAGGAGTAGTCGGATTCTGGGTATTTTGATGTTGCCGCCAATAGGATTTGCTAATGGATTGAGTGTAGCATGTGAGACAGAGAGAGGAGTGAAATTTCTCCAACTGAGTTTTTTTTGTTATGAGCAATTGCCAGGATAGAATTAGTAATTACTGGAATGTAGAGTCCTGAGAGAAGAGCAAGTTTTGGTGGTGGGAGGTGTATATCAGGGACTCAGTTTTGGACTTGTGAAGCTTGAGAGACCTGTCAGACATTGCAGTGGGAACACTGAGTAGGCAGACGTATGGGTCTAGAGCAGAGGGCAGAGTCAGGGTTGAGGTATAAATTCGAAAACTGCTAGTGTGTGCATGGTATTTAAAACAGTGGGACTTCATGAGATGACCAAGGCAATGAGCACTGACCAGTGAGGAAGCAGGAAACCCAGGAACAGGTACCCCCGGAAGCCAAATGAAGAAAAGTTTCAAGGCGTGGGGAGAGAAGCACTGTGGTGTTCTGAGCAGGAAGGTGGTATATAGAATTAACAGTTGTGATTATCTCTTTTCACACTTCTTCGCAAAATTTTTCCCCAAAGGATTGAAGACTGAAGCAGATATATACGAGGTAGAAGATCGTAAGAACAGAACATTACGTCATCACGTGACTTGCTCAGAATCAGAATCAGAATGGACTGACAAAGCGTGCTTGATAAGAAAGCTTCCAGCAAAGCTAATAAGCAACCAATCCCTCTCTCTCTCTCTCTCTCTCTTTTCTTGCTAAATTATGCAATGTAGCATGGTATTCCCTCCCCAACTGTGAGGTTTACCTTTCTGAAAATGTCTATGATAAGACTGGTTAAAGTAGAGAAACTCAAGATCTTACGTTATGAATTGAGATGGAGGTTGTGAGTGAATCTTTTGAAGTTTATAAGTAATTCTTTTTCTTTTGCTAAGATAAAACAATATAGAAAGCACACCAGTAAAGATAATATCACTGGCTTTGTATTCATCTTAAATTTGGCATGGTGGTTACTCTACCTTAATTTTCATTTACTATTTCTTGCTTATTAGAAACTTTTCTACATCTCCCTCTCCTATAGTTGCAGGGAAGATTGTAGATTTTTTTTTTTTTTTTTTTAAAGAAACAGGTCTCACTATGTTGCCTAGGTTGGCCCAGAACTTCTGGGCTAAAGTGACCTTCCTGCCTCAGCCTCCTAAGTAGCTGGCACTACAGGCCTGAGCCACCATGCCTGGCAGATCATAGATTTGGTTTTGGTTGTTGCAGATAAAATATATAAATGTTATAAATTAATACTAAGGAGACTTTTCTTCCAATGTGTGCTTATTCATTCAAATATTCAATGCCATTCCAATGTTTATTTTAAAATAGATAGAATACTGTATGAAAATTCAAAAGCCATAAAATTTCAGAATTTGGAACTACTTTAAAGAATACTATATTTTAAAACATCACATTCTTTCTAGGAGGCAAACAAGATGATGGAGAGGGAACCAGTCTATACATCCTACATTGTTTTTTTCTGTTCCTGGCCCCCATTATGAATTTTTGTGTATTTGATAGGTGTGAAAAAGGCAGCATGAACTTTACCCCGACACATACCCCTGTCTGCAGAAAGTAAGACATTTGCTTATTTTTGAATTGTTAAATAAGGAATCAAAACTTCAATAACCTTAGTCCAAACTAGCATAGGAGCTGGAAGGGTCTTGGAAACATACTTCCTACATCTTGGTTTGAACTGTATTAGATCTCATTTCTCTATTCTTCCGTTCTATGCAGAAGTGAGATAAACAGTGTATATTGCATGGTATACCCGGATTCCTTCAGTGGGAGTGGGCCTGGCACAGCGCCAGTGGATCCTGGATTGGGAGGAAACAACCAGCATGCAAACGCGGGACTTTTAATTCTGGTTCTGCCACCAACTTGCTGCAGGACACATCGTCCTCACCTGTCAGTGCCGCAGCTCTCACCTCAGAAGGCCCCTTGGTTCCTCTGTTAACCTGTTTCCCAGAGTTGCTGTAGGACAATTCCTTTGCAGACTATGAGACATTAAGTAAAACGGTATTTCTGTCACAGCTTTTAATGTAGAGAGACTGTGAAATTTTAACTTCTCATGCTAGTTGAGAATAAATTTTAATATCTCCATATGCTTATTATAATAAAATGGGCACACGTAGTAACTACATTCACTAACTATAACTCAGGGCTTCTGGTATAAAGCTTCTCCACTCTACTGTCTATTTTGTTATGTTGTAAATTGCAGACAGCCAAACTGGATTGACTTTCGCATGTACCATTTGTACCATTTGTTTTCTACTTTTATTGTTTTAGCTCCAGTCTCCTGTTTGCTAAAAGCAAACAAACAAACAAAACTTCTTATCCAGCCTTTGATCCGAGTCTTTTTCCATTTATAACATCTAGTCCTAGTCTGTGCAATTCAGATATCTAGAGAGTAACGTCTGATGTGGTTGTATCCATCGCTTTATGTCTTTTGTTTTTTACTTTAGAAACAGAGTCTCACTCTGTTGCTAGGCTGGAGTGCAGTGGTGTGACCATAGCTCACTGCAACCTTGAACTCCTGGCCTCAAGGGTCCTACTGCCTCAACCCCCTGAGTAGCCGGGACTACAGGTGTGCACCACCATGCCTGGCTAATTTTTTAATTGTTATTTTTTTCAGAAACAAGATCTCACTATATTGCCCTGGCCTCAAGTGATCCTCCCACCTCGGCCTCCCAGCAGTGCTGGGATTACAGGCATGAGCCATTGCACCTGGCCTCATTACTGTTTGTCTTACAGTGCTAAATTTTCTAATTGTTACTCTATGGTCTTATTAGTTTATATTATATTTTTAAGTGATCTTTTTAGTCTCTAACATGTATTTTTATTTTTTACTTTTTTAGAGATGTGGTCTTGCTATTTTGCCCAGGCTGGACATGAACTCCTGGGCTCAAGCGCTTCTCCTGCCTCAGCCTCCTGAGTAGCTGGGACTATAGGGGTACACTACTGCACCTGGCTCTAACATGAATTTTTACATCTGGTTATCAGTATTAACTATCGA